TGTTCACGAGAGGGTCTCGATGGCAGCAGGTCGACCGGCCGACGACGGGGAAGTTCGCGGCGTCAACGGTGCCGTCGGCAAGGCGACAGGCCAAGTAAGGTGGCCGGGACGACGATGCGAAAAGCCACCCAAAAAATGATAGGGGCTTTGACAAGAGCGCCCAAAGCGAACAAACCGGGTTTTGTCAGGTTGGTGCAGGAAAGGGGATTCTTTACTTGGACGCCGTCTGAAAAGGGGATTGGGGAGATCGGGTGGGCAGGAACACTATTGATCGGACACGGCACGCCACCACGCAACATCAGACAAATTGCCCAAAGCCAGTCCATTCGGTAACATGGCCTGAGCATTCATGTCACATTGCAGAGGCTGGGTGGATGAACTCCATTCACACCATCGTTTCTGAGTGCGCGCCTGCACAGTTGTGTTTACGCGGCATACCGAAAGCGTGTCGTAGTTGGCTAAATCCATGAAGGATGAGCGGATGGCAAAGTCCTTTTTGTCTTTATGGTCATTGGCTTTCCCAAATATGTATGTGGCAGTGTCTCCCCAAGCCAACAGACCCGAGGCCCCAGGACAGGTTGTTGCGCTGGGCAGAGGGTGGGCGAGTCTTGGTACGAAGACAGCCAAGGCAACGAGGACGCCCTTCAACAGTTCGTCGAGTCAGGGCCGTCGAGGGTTCTGAACCCCGTCCCACGCCTTTACCCATGGCCTTGCCACATGCTGTGGTCCTTGTCGCGACGAGCCTATGGGCATCGCGAGCTGCAGGCCGAGATCGATGCCGTCGCCAGAGAGGCAGACATATGTCCATTGCACATTGCCCCTGATGCGCTGCTGCGGAATATGCCGCATCTTCATGAAGTCATCAAGGAGGATTTGCGCTTGTAGCCGCCAGTCAACGGCATGATGGCCCGAATGTCAAACTTTGAGGTGATCTGCGGCGCTCCAATCCCGGGCACACGTTGCCTGGGCTGTGTGGGTTATCATCAAACATGTTTTCGGCGTTGATGTTGAGGCATTTGAGAGCCAAGTGGATGAAACAGGACCGCGAACCCGGGCGCGCGTCAAGGCGACGGCAAAGGTTCAGGGGCTTGTGCTCCCCGAGGTCTGGGGGGGGGGGGGGCGGGGGGGCGGGGGTCTTGACCAACCTATGGGGCACTGTTCGAACTTAAACACTATTGTACAAAGGGGTAACAGGGTAACCCCGA